GAAAGGAAAGGAAAGGAAAGGAAAGGAAAGGAAAGGAAAGGAAAGGAAAGGAAAAGAAATAAAGAAAAGAAAAGAAAGGAAAAGAAAAAGAAAAAGAAAAAAAGAAAACAGCCACTCTGCTTTACATAACAGAATAATAGAGTTGGAAGGGACTTTGGAGGTCTTTTAATCCAACCTCAGGAAGCCACATATTCTTTCAGAAATGGCTATCCAATCTCTTATTAAAGATGTGGAACACCCACAACTTCTGAAGGCAAGCCATTCAAATGATTCATTGTTTTAACTTTTAGGCACAGAATAAAATTATAATATATTCCATTATTACTAGTATCTCCTAAGCTCTTGAAAAAAACAGTTATTATATGTATCAGCCCTAAAATACAGGCATACACACACTTATCCGAGGAGTTAAGTCTAGTGAAATTCACACACACACACACACACACACACACACACACTAAATATTAAGCTATTGCATCTACATTCAGTAAACACTTCAATTATTATTTGGCAGGTGGTATTAATTGAAATCTAGGCAACTTCAATCAATATTTTAGATTAGCATTCAAAAACAGTTTTTAAACCACTGATTTCATAGCAGTTCCCTATTACTACTTTTAAATCACTGTTAACGCAGGGTGATTTACAAAATAGATCAAGCAAGATTTGTGGCATTGCCTCATTCTTATAACTAAGTCCTGCAACGTATTTGTTTTGTTGTAAAATTTGTGCAGGGTTTAATTTCCCCAGTAGATCTCAAAATATTCCAGGATCACAGCTTTTCCATGGTAACTTCCCTGTGTAACTATCTGCCATTGTCTAACAACAAGTAATAAAAATACTTGTAGTTGAACACATCTGAGAGTCATCAGGTTAGAGAAGAAACATGATAGTTGCTATTTTTTCAACTGGTATCCATAGAAGTTACAGTAAAAGATTCTCAGGACATTTTTTTAATAAAGTTTTAAAAGTTATTGCGTAAGGCAAAACTCTTTATTTTTATCAGGATAAAATGAGATGCTTAAATTGGCTGGCTGGAACTGAAATATGTTTCTTAGGAATGATTCCATTGATGTTCCAGAAGTACATCCATTAAGACCAGGCAACTTTCAGAAAACAAAGCTTTTGACAAATTGATTATTATAAGAGTTAAAGTAGAAGGAGAAATTTGTTATAGAGATTAATTGTTGATTATTTCATTGTTTATTTAAAACTCCATAGTTTGTGGACTTTTAGAGAGATTATATTAGACCCCAATAATTTTTAAAAAAATTATATATCCTTTCAGGTCAATATTTTTTTAAAAAAACAAGCAAAACTAATAATGTCTTTACCAGAACCACACCTTACATTTGGAAAAAAGGAATCCAGTTTTGACAGAATCCAGTTTTGACAGACCTCTTTTCTCTCTAACTCTAGCATGCTGGGCTGGGGGATTCTGGGAGTTGAAGTCCAGTTTTTAAGTTGCCAAGTTTGGAAATGTTGCACTATGGCAATCTGAAGATGTCCCTTCCACCTCTATCCAAAAAATGAATGCATAAAGTTATACCAGTGACATCTAACCCTAGTTAGATTAACATCTATATCATACAATAATTCTTCAAGGTGTTGGAGGGGCTGTAGAGATAAGGGATCATTTTACCCTAGGTTATGGTCATGTGATAAAATAACATCCATTTTTAAGGTTTTTCTTGTTTTTTAGTATTATTACGAAACAAATGGTTGAATGCTCTTGTAAGCTGGAACTGTGACCTTGAGGGATACGATCTGATGCTACACTGAAAAATAGGAATGCAATGGCTTTCTTGCTAATTGTGCCTCAGTGTCGGGAAACTCTATTTATAATTCATTAATATTAATCCTGACTCTTGATGAATGTATCTTTTCTTTTAGGTATACTGAGAACATTTGCACCAAGACAAATTCCTTGTGTGTCCAATCACACTTGGCCACTAAAGAATTCTATTCTATTCTATTCTATTCTATTCTATTCTATTCTATTCTATTCTATTCTATTCTATTCTATTCATAATAGAGTTTTTTCAACCACTTGATTAAAAATATTTATTGGTAAAATTAGGATAATGAATCTTCAGGAGCCAGAATCACAGTTTCGTCACCTCTGGAGACAAAAGGAGATAATATTTATTATGTTAATGGGAAAAAGAATTTTGTCAATTCTCTTGTTATTTGGACATGAACAACTTTTGATTCTTTGTCTTTCTTCTTTTCTGCTCCTTATTACAACCTCCTATATTCTTCACTTAGTTTTTGTGTGTGTGCCCCCCCCCCATAGATTACTATTCAATAACAGTATAATTGAAAAATTGTTGGGTTAATATTATTCTGATTATTTGGGGTTTTTTTTCACCTAACAATGACTCTTTTATTCAAATCAAGTTTAAATAAAAATATCGTAAAGCGGCTTTTTCCAAAAGGAAACTGGACTTTCTTGGAGGTTTGTTTTAAACATTTGGGCTTCTCATCCAAGATGCCTTTTCAATTCTTCAGAAAACTGAAGAAGCAGAACATGTTCAAAAACAACAACAATAAGAAGGTCCAGTTGCCTTTTGGAAAAAGGACCTTTCGGATAAACATGATCTGGATGACTGAGACTCTCCATAGATATTAAATAAAACATTAAATTAACATTTACTTCATGATTTATTTTTTACAAAAGCCATTTCACCCACCTTATTTAGGTTTTGATTAAATAGGAGATTTATTGATGCTTAGAGTGAATAATTTGGTATATTTTCCCCCTATTATCAAGACCACTGAGAGGTACCTGAGAGGTAATTTGGTAGTGATGTATTTTAAAAACTAGTTTTCTTGATAGCAATGTCCTGTCAAAAGTGGGAAACAATGTGTACAAGCCATTTAATTCTGCCCAAGTAAGCCACAGCTTTAGGAAGTATGAGGCAGTGGATCAGGTCTTACCTTTTGAGAGCGCTAAACTCTCTCAAAAGTGTTTTCCAGCCTTGCCCACTTGAAGACAGGTGGACTTCAACTCCCAAAATCCAGTCACTTAAAGCTCACCCTTCTTTCATTTTCTATTACAAGGAGGTAACAGGACAACTGTGCTTTTAATTCAAAGGCCTGCCTGTAAACCCATTTTTCCCA